TGTACTTATGTTTTCTTTGCTTATGTGGGTTTTGATGCAGTTTCAACAGTAGCACAAGAAGCGAGGGCACCAGAGCGATCGCTGCCAATAGCCATTATTGGGTCTACAATTATTTCATTATTATTGTATATTGGAATATGTACTGTTATGGTTGGACTCGTTCCATACGACAGATTAAATTCAGATAGTCCTCTTTCAGATGCAATGTAAGTTAATAGTAATCTTTTAAAGAATATTAATGATGCACATTGTAATCTTAATAGAAAAGCTACACCTTATGGTCTTTGGTTATCAATCTTGATAGATTTAGGTGCTATTGCTAGTCTTACAACTGTAGCATTGACGATGATGCTCTCACAAACTCGAATATTTTATGCAATGGCTCATGATGGTTTACTACCACCAATCTTTGCTAAAATTCATTCTCAGACAACAACTCCATGGGTTTCTATATTAATTTGCGGTAACTATTGTTTTAATACAATTTATAGGATAAAATTTTCTCCAATTTTTAGGTGTATTCTGTGCTATTTTTTCGGGGATCTGTCCAGTAGATATTCTTGGGGAAACAACTTCAATTAGTGCGCTAATAACATATATTTTCGTACATGTTGCAGTCATAGTCGTACGTTGAATTGATTATGTTTTTCTATTCTGTTATCTGAATTTTTTTCATAGATGCGCTACACACATGGAGATATGCAACGTGTATTTCAAGTACCATTTGGTTCAAGGCTGATTCCGACTATCGGTACTTTACTTTGTATACTTCTTATGAAAGGTGTAACAAAAGTAACATGTTATCGATTCCTTGTGTGGACAGCATTAGGTCAAATTATTTATTTTTCTTATGGTTTTTGGCATTCTAAACGACGAAAATTAATGAAAAGTGAAATGACTGCAAGTAATTTCGAGCTTGTGCCAAGAGTAGAAAGTATGAAGGAACACTACACACACAATGGGTCTCAATCGGATGTAGGCAGTGAACAGACTGAAAGTGCAGCATAAAAAGCTTTCTTCACTAATACTTGTAGATTTCAATATAAAACACTTACATTAAACAAAGAGTTAAATTAAACAAAGAGTTAAATTATAACGCTTCTTTCAATTTGATTTAACATAATATGCAATTCATTATTGAATGTATAAGAATTTTATCGTAATATTTGATTTTCAAGTACATAATCTCTACTATCTGTTTGAATATTGTTTATTACAATATATAAATAGAACAACATTACTTTTTACATAGATGCGTTTGTGAAATAAAATATTCGATATGATTTACATAATCAATTGGAAGAACTTTCGTTGAAAGTGGAGCGTATTGTTTTACCTTGTCATTATTATTTGAATAAAAACAATAGCATACTATCATTTGCTGCAAGTAGAATGGATAGTAAAAACATAGATTTTGTAACTCTTAATTAAATGTACTCAGAGGAGATTAATCGATCAGGGAAAAAGTCGATCGAAAATATTGATTAGAAGAAATATCTTCTTTGAAAAGAGTACAATGCAAAAATTGCACATTGAATAAAAATGTTAGTTTGGGATATTGTGTAATCGAAAAAATAAAATTTACGAATTTGATTTCTTGATACGAACATTAGTTTTTAACCTAAAAAATATGAAATGAAAGGTCCCATAGATAAATTGCAGTTAATTTTTGACAGAAGATAAATTTTTATTTCGAAGTTCAAAATTCATTGTGTTGTTTGTATGACCGATCGAAACGACGACTAATAAAATTTATTATTGAAAATCTCCTTAGAGTTTTTATGAAATGACTTATGTATCTTTCTTATGCATACTAGAAGATTGCTATCACCAGGAGATAGATTAGTAAAAGAAGATAAAAAGTATTAATTGTATTATACGCGATATATATGACGTGGTTCAGTTATACATGCTTTGGTGAAGTCATTTTATGTGAAATATAAATTTTCAAATAACTTCATTGATAACGATAGTATGGAAGTATAGTATCCAAATCAGAGATAGAACGAATGTATTTGTACTTGTACTTTTCGTACTTTTTTCAAGTAAAAGTAAAGGTGCAAATATTTATCAGGCGTACTTGGTATTTATGCTTCAACTTTGAGAAGAGTACTTGGCACTTAAATTTATACTTCAAGACAAATACTTTTGTATTTATTATACTTCAGTAAAAAAAAAGAGCTTGTACGTACTTCTTATTTTTACTTGTAATACGACAGTGTCCTTTCGCATAATGGAAGTATCTTTTTAAACACTTCATTGTTATTGTCAATGAAGAAAACGTTTCAAATATTAAAATTTATTCGATTAAATAGCTTAACTGACTACCCGTGTAAAAAAATTATCTCAATAATCACAAAAAATCTGATTTTTAATCGATTATAATCATACGATTCTTAATCAATGGTTTATACAGAAATAATCAGAAAAAAATCAGTTATTTTTTTCAATTTGATTATAACCGGTTTGAAATTGAGTCAATCAATCGATTATAATCAAATTGAAAAAAATAACAGATTTTTTTCTGATTATTTCTGTGTAAACCATTGATTAAGAATCGTATGATTATAATCGATTAAAAATCAGATTTTTTGTGATTATTGAGGTAATTTTTTTACATGGGTACTGAATAAATAGATGAATTTGATAAAAATAAAAACGAATTTTGAACTTCTGCTTATTTTTCAAACGTAAGGTTCTTTTTGTATAAAGAATTTTTGTATTTCTGACGTATTGCGTAAAGAATGAATGATGTTACCCATGTCATCAAAATCGCGT